CTATCTAATCTTGATATGTGATTGCATCTCAAAGTAATGAATATTAAATCAAATTTCTGTCACAACAAGTTTTTTGTATCGATATATTATTTTCAAAAACTAATTTAATTTAGCTGCATGAAACACAAGAACAAAGCTGCTTATTCATTATTAGTTCTAGACCTGCACAAGTTATTTGTTGATGTAGATAGCTACTATGTCCCTGTCCTCACATTCTTACAATCTATAGGGAAACAATTACAAACTTTGAAAAGCAATCATCTTTCAAAAAACAAATTGAAAATACACAAAAAAAATGCAAATTTTGATTATTTTCTAATTTCAGACTTTCAAAAACAGTCATATCCCAAAATGTAAATTAAAAATTTAGAGATAATATTGCTCAGTAGATGTACATGTTGGTTTTGTGTTTTTGGAAGAGAACTCTAGCAAATATACAAATTTTTTAGTTTCAACTTCGTATACACAGCATAATTAATCTTATAGACATTAACAACATATAGAATATCATGGCTAGATACACAATACATATACAAAAGTATATTTCAAATTTAAATTCAAATTAGTTGTCATCATCCAATAATGATACTGTATACGCTGTTAGTATATAAAAGATTAATCCTATGTATTTGAAACTAAGTACTTAAATTTGAAATTTTGTAAATAAAAGGTGAAGATTTAAATGAAATAATTAACTAATAGGTGGATGGATGCAGTTTAGCTTTAAACAAATTTTTTTCTTGATGTAATGTACAAAGCTTAACATGTCAATATGGGACCAACTCTACTTTGCATGTTTGAATTTATATCATTTTTTAACTTTACACCCTAAAATTTAATTTTGGACACCTTGTTCCTTAAACTCTCAATTTTGGACACTTTGCACCCTACATTCTTAAATTTGTCCCATTTAAATCCAATCAATAACAATTTTAACAAAATTAACAGCATAGAGGACCCAACAAATCAATGTCAATTTATAGAAAGTGGTCAAAATTGCCAAGCTATTGCAGTAAAAATAAAACAATATATTTCATTAATTTGGACCATCTTTTATCTCATTAATTTTACCAATAATATTAGTGATTATGATCATATAAATCAATAAAAATGTATTTAAAATGGTTAAAAAGCCAAGGAATCGTGCTTGGGTCATGACATTATCATTAATTTTCACCTTCCTTTATTTTGTTAATTTTGGGAATGTAATTATTGATTGTACTTAAATATGAAAAATTTGAGAGTAGAAGGTGGAAAATGTCTAAAATTGAAATTTAGGGTGCAAAGTAAGAGAGTAATACAAGTTTAGGGGTGCAAAGTGGAGTTAGACTTGTCAATATATAATGCTAATGCAATTAATGACATTAACTTTATGGATTAATTGGTGAAATGGCTAGGTCAAAAATATCAAAGAAAATTAAAAGTTTATATTTCCATAGAGAAAAGCCAGGTCAAAAAAAATATCAAAGAAAACTTGCAGTTAATACTTAATAACACTTTTAATGACATTAACCTTATGGAAGGGGGCAAATGAAATTTTATCAGGATCCCCCGTGGGTTGGAGGAGAGGGGGAGGGGGTGGAGGGAGTGAAAGACTTTCAAAGAAAATTCTTAAAATTTCTTAGGGACTAAAGAAAAATTCTCAAAACTTGGTTTAGGGGGCATAACCTAATAAGCTATTCCTATTATCTTTGACTCATATGTAGTACATATTCATTCGTAACGGAAACACAATCCGCCATCCGATCATGCCAACTTTTAAGCAGCTTGAATACTAAAACACATTAACTTCAAAGATAACAGCAACCGAAGTTAGCCAATCGGCGGCTCCTAAATACCTCACGCGTTACATTCAAGAAGTAAGGTCTTACAGTTTCCAAAACATGAAATTTCATACAGCCCAAGTATATATACACATACAAGCCAAATACTATCATCAGGGTCTACACATCTCCAGCTTCAAACCCAAAACAAAACTATATCGTTTAATTCAAATACATTACAAGTCACAAAACGAAGTAGATACATTCTTAAGAAGATATAAGCAGCTCAGATTTCTCAAACCTCAAGACCTGTCAAGAAAAACAAATAAACGTGGGGTAAGCTAAAGCTCAGTGGTGCCCCAAAATCATGCAATCACTCGAAACAATTAACACGTATTGATTCGACTGAAGTAAACAAATAGGGAGGCGATAATTCCCAAGTGTACCTTAGACTGGTCAAGGGATTCACCCAACGACGTTACGTCCTGAACTTACATTATTATTATAGACTCGTCGAGGGATTCACCCAACGACTTTTCGTCTAGCACTTGATTTACCATTATTGACTCGTCGAGGGATTCACCCAACGACTTTTCGTCTAGCACTTGATTTATCATTATTGACTCTTGATTTATCATTATTGACTCGTCGAGGGATTCACCCAACGACTTTTCGTCTAGCACTTGATTTATCATTATTGACTCGTCGAGGGATTCACCCAACGACTTTTCGTCTCGCACTTGATTCATTATTATTGACTCGTCGAGGGATTCACCCAACGACTTTTCGTCTAGCACTTGATTCATTATTATTGACTCGTCGAGGGATTCACCCAACGACTTTTCGTCTCGCACTTGATTCATTATTATTGACTCGTCGAGGGATTCACCCAACGACTTTTCGTCTAGCACTTGATTCATTATTATTGACTCGTCGAGGGATTCACCCAACGACTTTTCGTCTAGCACTTGATTCATTATTATTGACTCGTCGAGGGATTCACCCAACGACTTTTCGTCTCGCACTTGATTCATTATTATTGACTCGTCGAGGGATTCACCCAACGACTTTTCGTCTAGCACTTGATTCATTATTATTGACTCGTCGAGGGATTCACCCAACGACTTTTCGTCTCGCACTTGATTCATTATTATTGACTCGTCGAGGGATTCACCCAACGACTTTTCGTCTAGCACTTGGATTCACATACAAACAAAAAAAATGCTTTACACAAGTCACCACTCGAACGACTAGTGTGGTAAAGTACACACCGCTCACTTCGATGGATCAAAACCAATTTTTGCGATTATCACACTTAAATTCAAGGAAGCACTTAATCATGTAAGAATAGAACAAACAGGGACACTCACCAAGAGTGGAGTTCAGATATCAAGTTGGGAATCGAATTCCGCGTCCTCGCAATATCCTCAGTTAAGAGCTCAGCTCACACGATGGTTTGCTGCAACATTTTCCTCTCGGCTGGCTATGGAAGTAAAGTATGGCTGGCTGAGTTTGGTTTGCGTAGGCTGTGAAGTTGGTGGGTGTGGTTGAGCTCAGCTGGTGGAGGTCTTGGAAGTGCAGAGTGGTGTCCGATTCTCTCCCCTCAGCTCACGGACAAAACAGAAACGAAGAGCTCGCAGTTACCTTTCCTTCCTCTCGGCTGTAAGTGCAGCTCTCTCTCCTTCCCCTCGGTCGATGATTACAAGGTGGGTAAATGGGGTTGTGGTTTTGGGGAATGATGGTGTAGAGAGTAAATGGAAATGGTGTGCGGTATTGAGGAGGTTGGAGTCGCGGTTTTCTTCTGAAGAATGGTGAAGTGGAGAATGTTTTCATTCGTCCAAATGGAATGCTGGTGCTATAAGGTTGTCCGAGAATTGGTTTTGTAATTGCATGGTGATTTTGGAATAGTTCAAGGGTAGTTTAGTCCTTTCACATTTTCACCAGTTATCTCCTTGGGTCCTTAGTTCTAATTAAATTCCAAAAATTATCCCCAAGTGTGATTTGAATGCCTAATTATACACTAGTCCTACAAGACCTTAATTATCGTAAGCCTTATGTCCTAAGTATATCTAGGATACTTATATCGTTTTTGCCCAAAATTTATCGGTTGCAATTTAGTATTAATGTTCCTATTAAATCATACACTCTTACATTATTAATTAACTTATTAAAATCAAGTTTGACCTTGTTATATAAATCTAACATTTAACATTCTTGTTATTCGTTTATCCATTTATATCAATGTTCATTGGCTTAATCATTATTAGCACTCGAGGTTAACAACTAATTGGAATTCAAATTATTTGTTTTTAGGATAGTAAGGTTATCGACTCAAGTGTCATTAATTTGTTTGAGTCAAGGAAATTAAGTATTCTAGCAATTCATGTTAAGATGAATAATTTTATCTAACTCTAGGATATTAGTTTAGTCAAGCAAAACCAAGAACTTCGTAACTTAGGAAATCATATTATTCTTCACATGATCTATTTTTACATTCTTAATTGAAATATGGAAGCAAAAGTAATGCTAGAATTTATTAAGAAGTAAAGGAATTTACTTTTAAAGAGTAAACTTAATATAACTCAAGAGTTATTACTTTAGTGTAACGAAACCGAATAATTCAATATTAGGCACAATTATATTATGTAGTTCATAGAAATTATCTTTACACTTTTATTTCAAAACAATTAATTACAATACTAGAATTCAAAGAAATTAATTATTAGATCAACGAAATAGTTTACCATATAAACATGAAGTTAATGTAACAAACTAAGAAGTTTAGTAGTTTGGCACAATTCTTTTATTTTGCACCTAACGTTTAATTCTACGTACTTATTTAAAAACAATTATGATGTGATTAGAGATCAAATCCAGAAAAGTAGAACCGAAAGTATCAAGTTTAGCTTTTGAAAGATAAAAGTGAAGAGCCAATAGTGAGATCTTGAAGATTAGTGCCAATTCTGTACTTAAGATGAATAATTTTACTAGTCATTCAATGGTAAATGGAATATATGCCATCTCTTACCCAAAATAATGGTTTAGACATAGAATTGAGTGAAATAGTAGTTTAGACAGGAACTATGCAGTTGTGAACAGCTTTAAACCTTGAGGAGAGTCTTTAAAACTGAGGTGAGATAAGTTGACGAATTTTACTAGTCTTTAAAACCTGTGACGACCCCACTTCCCCCTAAGGCGAACCAGAGGGTTGGCGGGCCGTCTGCCCAGCTCTCGCCAGGACTCACGCACGCACACTAACCCGGATCCTTCCGAAGAATAACCTAATCTGTTACAAAACAACTTTTCCCAGATAGGATCATCCTTAAATCTACATTAACTTCAGAGATAGCAGTAAAGAAGATAGCCAGTCGACGGCTCTTATACATCTCACGCGTTACCTCTAAGGTATAAGGTCGTACCAATCCGGATATATACTGTCACACACCACGATTACAACCATACAAGCCAAACATAATAATTAGGGTTTAAACATTTTCCAGCTTCAAGTGGCAATCCAAAATAACCAATACGTTTTTCAATTCACAATACAATACAACGGTAAACTGCAGTCTTAAGATTCAAGTACAAATTAAAAGAAATCAGCACTGCTCAGATTTCTCAAACTTCAAGACCTGTCAAGGAAAACAATTAAACGTGGGGTGAGCTAAAGCTCAGTGGTGCCCCAAAAACATGCAATCAATTAAAACAATTAGCACGTATTGATTCGACTGAAGTAAACAAATAGGAAGGCGATAATATTCGGATATACCTTAGACTGGTCGAGGGATTCACCCAACGACATTACGTCCAACACTTATATTTATAGACTGGTCGAGGGATTCACCCAACGACTTTACGTCCACCGCTTGATTATTATAGACTGATCGAGGGATTCACCCAACGACTTTACGTCCAGCACTTGATTGTTATAGACTGATCGAGGGATTCACCCAACGACATTACGTCCAGCACTTGATTGTTATAGACTGATCGAGGGATTCACCCAACGACATTACGTCCAGCACTTGATTATTATAGACTGATCGAGGGATTCACCCAACGACTTTACGTCCAACACTTATAGCAAGCGCAAGCAAAATATTCACGAAAAACACTTCACACAAGTCACCACTCGAACGGCTAGTGTGATAAAGTACACACTGCTCACTTCGATGGATCAAAAACTAGTTTTGCAAATTATCACATATCGAGTCAAGAAAGCACTTTAACCAAGTAAGCATAGAACAGGCAGGGACACTCACCAAGAGTGAAGTTCAGATGTCAAATTGGGATTCGAGTTCCACTTCCTCACGATACCCTAAAATAACAAATATTGAAACTATAAGTTTTTACTCCGTTTTTAAGCTTATAGACATTGAGGTATAATTACATACTACTAATTCACTTTCCCTTAGGAAATCAAGAGTCCCTTGGGTTAATACGTGACAAAGTAGAAGGATTGTTTCCTATAGTTTTCATTAAGATACTTTTCCTGAAAAAAATAACTTGTATTACTTTCTTGAAATAAATCGACAAATCTCTTAATATCCACGTTAGGAAGTTACTTTGAACATTTCTTTAAAGCTATGGTTTTTGCAAAATTATTACTAAACTATTTTACCTAAAAATAAGGTTTCTTGCCGAGTAAGTTTCTCAAGCTTTTCACTAAAATTAGTAAAACTCGTATTTTGGAACTTTTCCTATAGTTAACTATCCAAGTGCAAAGCTTAAGGAAAGAAAAGGAGTTAAAATAAGACTTAAAGTTTTCAAAAGCTATAGAACTTATTTACTATAGCTATCAAGGCTAGTTTGAGCTAAAGGAAATTATCGAGTTGGAAAATTTTTAGGCAAAGCACTAGATATGGAGTTTTATAATATAATACTAGCTGGAAAAATATTTTTGATTAATTTGACCACAGTTACTCGAGTTCGCTAAGTCGATACAACTTCCACAGCTCCGATTCCGTTTCGAAATCATAATATGAATCAAAATGTGGTAAAAATCACATAACAAATTACTAGGACTTCGTCAATCATTAGCCTTAAATTTCAACAAGTGCATTTCCGAATAAACTAAAATGATCAACCAAGGCTTCATCAATCATTAGCACTTGGTCTCAGCAAACCCAACATAAGCAAGTAAAAGTAAAAGTAAAGCTTCCAAGACATTCCAGCAATTCACTTTCATCACACCGTGGTACTTATAAAGTCATTCAAATGGCCAAGGGCTTCATCAATCATTGGCCCTTGACGACATTAGTTACTTCCAACCACAATTGAATCAAGAATTTGAACCACAAGTAAGATAAAATCTCAATCCAAATTCAAGTTTAGTTTCTCAAAGAAACAGGATATTCATGCAAAACAGTCTACTTTAAACATTCACAGGCAGCGATACACATGGAGGAAAAATACGAAATCTCTATAGGTCAAAGGTCTATGATTCTAGTTTCAAATACCACTGACGGTGCCTTAAACGGATTTTCCTACACCAAGATATAAACATTTTATCGAGACTGGTCAGGGACATCCGAAAATCTGGAGTTTCATTTTCCACTAATGAAAAACTCCTTTTTTTTTTTCTTTTAACACCAACATGTTTTTATTTCAAACCGTCCATGCATTCCTTATAGATTCCCAAACAACATATTCCAGGCATTTTATCCATTATATTTTCAAGAAAATTTCCAGAATCCAAGTTGATAATTCAACTCAATATTCGGCAATCACAAGAGAATTTCCAGCAATTGTATACTAGCGTTTTTGGTTCCAACTTTATATGTACTAATTGGTTCGTTGCTAAACAAATTGTATATCTTGAAATTTGCATCTCTTATGAAATTCTGAGCCACCATAATCCAAGGAAATAAAATAAATTTCCAGAAACAAATTACAATTTTCCCAACGATATTGAAATTCTGGATCATACCCCTTCGGCTATCACCCAAAATTTCCAGCAACCAATCTACTTTAGTTCGAATTTTTCCTTGGTTTAAGTATGGTATTAGGTACTCAATTCAGCGTTTAAACACTTAGCTAAATAGTTGACATTTTTAACTCAAAAATTGAATTCAATTAGCAACTACAAATTTCCCAAAAATCCAGAAATTCTCCCATGAGCCTCGGTGATCATGCATGAACCACTTTCAAATTTTCCTTTTTATTTTTCTGGTTTAGGCCATCTCATTGCTACATGCACAGCTTAACTGATTAGTTATTGACTAATTAAGCACAGGGATCAATTCAGAGGGTCACATTTAGGCAAGTTAAACTTACATTTTCTGCTCAAGCTCACGGCAACATTACTACATCAAAACAGAATTTCTTATGTTCCTTGGTTCATCATCCGAAAGTTCCAAGTTCCCATGCAAAGCTTTGAACAATTTAATTAGTTAGTGATTAGTTAATTAAACATCACAACAAGCTCAGAATAACAGAGTTTGATCATCTAAGGTAGCATCATTCCAATCAGTCTCGGATGAAGCACTATCGCACATCAGAAAATTTTTGCTGTTTTTGTAACTACCATCCGAAGTCTAATAATCAACATGCAAGATTTTAAGTTAGCTCCAGAACCCTCTAATCAACTCAAACTAGATCAAGAAGTACCTCTGCTAATGCTCCGTTCACGCACGAACAAATCTGGGCAGAATTATTTCCCTAGGCTCGCGACTGGTTTGGGGTTGTCTTGGCTGAGCAGATGGTGGAGCTGTGGTGGTTGTTGCGGCTGGAAAACTGGGTGTAGCTTGCGGATTTCAGCTCTCCTACCTTGCTCCAGCTGCTGATCCGAAAGGGAAATGGTGTTGTGGAGCTGAGGTGAGAAGTTGGATTGTGAAGAAAAGTGGAGGTGGAGCCGCGGTTTTGGCAATGGAGGTAGAGTGCTTGTGCGGTTGTGTGTTGGAGTGGGAAAGAAATGTATTGGCCGAATGTGAGGTGGTGACAGACGGTTATTTCGTGAGGTTGTGAGGGTAATTTTGATCTTTTCACTTGCTCTCCTAATATCCACTCCTAATATCCACTTAAGTCCCTATTTCTAACTTAATCTAATTCCAAAATTTATCCCAAATGTAATTTGAATACTTAATAATATACTAATCTCGCAAAGATTTGATTATCGAGATTTTAACGTCCTAAGTATACTAAGTGTACTTGTAATGGTTTTGTCTAAAATTATCAAATGCAACTTAATACTAAGGTTCCTATTAACTCTTAACATTATTAACGATTAAATTAGCTATCGGAATTCAAAGAGTTTGTTTTTAAGCAATAAAATTACTCTAACTCGAGAAATATTAATTTAGTATAACAAAACCGAATAATTCAATATTGGGCACAATTATATTATTATTATTTTTTTACATAGAAATTATCTTTACACTTTTATTTCAAAACAATTAATTACAATACTAGAATTCAAAAAAGAAATTTAATTCTTAGATCAATGAAATAGTTTACCATCGAAATATGAAGTTAATGTAACAAAACTAAGAAGTTTGGTAGTCTAGCACAATTCTTTTATTTTGCACATAACGTTTATTTCTATGTACTTATTTAAAAACAATGGGACTTAGTGCTAAAATTTATTAAAGAATTAAAATGCAAATAAAATATGCACTGATATTTATATGTATATTTTCAGGGTTCTCACACACATCCTATGGCATTCTCTGTCCCACTTTTTATTATATTGCTATTTCTCCTATATAAACATCATGCTTTAGTTCTTTTTTATTTCCTTAAGATTCAATAACTATTAATTGAGTAATACAAAAAATTTGACAAACTCAAAAAATCAAAATTCATAAAAAATGAGATTTTTTATTGGATTTTAAAGAAACAAAAAAGAACTAAAACATGATATTTATGTAGAAGAAATAGCAATCTAATAAAAAATGTGACAGAGAATGGCATAGGATGTGGGACGGAAGATCTGTATGCCTATTCATCATTCATTAGTAAAAAGGAAATCTACATGAATCGCGGTGTACCATTTGGTTTTTTGTTTTTATTTTGGGAAGATAATCCCCAATAGATTAATATCAAAAATAAAATTTTTAACAAGTGTTTTCGGTGCATTTGTTAAAACACATTAATTACTATGTTTTATTAGCCATTACATTAAGTTTATAGTTTAAACATCCAAAGAAAATTACTTATAGGTTAGGAGTTCATTGTTCAATGACACTTAGTAACATACACATATTACATATAACTTACTATTGAAAAAAACGCATAAGTAATTATTACCTTCTCCTTATATTTATACATTTTTTTTAATTTACTTTCTTAAAAAAAAAAAAATCAACCACCTGAACTATTCCATCTCAACATGTATCCATTGGATACCTGTTGAACATTACCATTTTTAAAAAATGAGGGAAATCTGTCAAAAAACTGCAGGATCATCTTAGCCCGTGGCGAAGCAAGGACCAGGAATGATGCTCTACTGCCCCATTAGCCCAGAAACCGGGCTACAAGAGTTGTAAATTACACTCAAGTCAGTCATTTTTCATCCACCAGACTTGGTTCCTGTATCCTTATAGAACTCAAGGACACACAAGTACAAGATTATGGAACAGATCATGTTCAATTAAATAAGGTCTGTAGGCAGACCCATCAATTATATAGGGTTTGCACGAGACGGTGTCAACTTTCGCTTGGACTACTATGATTGGTTCACTTTGTGTGGAATTTTTTGTTTCCAAATTGCAGGTTTCTTGACAGCAGGAAAGAAATACAAGCTAATTCCTTTCGTTGTGGTTTTTGCTGGTGTTACTTTTTACTGATATATATATCCTGGTCTCCTTCAGAGCTTCGTGATTCTCTCCCAGTTTCTGTAAAGGAGGACAAGAAGGAGCCACCTCCTGAGCTCCCTGGTTGTGCTAAGGAGTGTAACGAGAAGGCACCATGTTGAATCTGCTGATTAAAAAGCCTCATTGCTTGGATACACCGGCTCATAATACTCAGTTTTTTGTATTGTAAATTACATTTTTTTTCTTTTTTTTTGTTGCTGACGTATTTCGGAATTTATTGTTTAGCCTATCGTGAAGAAAAAGTTTATTTTTTATTTTTTATATTCTCATACTCTTTTTGAATACTGAGTGAAAAAGTAGTTTATATATTAAATGAACATTTAGATTTTCAAAATTTGTGTTATAATTTTTAATTGTGCTATTGAATGCAAAATGACCCGCGCAAATGCACGGGAAGAAACTAGTTAAGCCATTAAAGACCACTAATGGTGGACTGCCTACCTTCGGAGTCCTAGCTCGCTTTGTTGTTTTTGTCGCAAAAGAAGAATAAAAGTCTTAATTAAACATTGAAATTGCATGATTAAACGACGCTGGCAAGACATCAGGACCAGCAATTTCAATTCCACTAGTTCTAAAGTGAAGCATGCAGAACCTCTGCATTCAAGCTTCGTATCACTTCAAAAATGCCTTGATAGAGTTTAAAAGTAAGGGTTGTTAGAAATATGCTTTTTTGGGCTCATTTGGCAATATGTGCATCGGTTCCTTGTTGAATTCAACAATCTCTCCAAAGATATTTTTGAGCTGTGTGGCAGTAGAATTAAGTTGACTCGAAATGAATGGTTGAACCATCATTTTTTGAGAAGTAGAATGCTCCTTCAGGCTTCCTAACAAACATCATAATGTGTAGTGATAATGTTGACGGCTTTTTCTATACTAAGAAAAAGTAATGGGCCTATTTGCGTTATCCCTTGTCAAGTTCTTCTATAGCGGGTGTCACTCATGAGGTCTGTTCTTGCCAAATGAGGCTGCATTGCATGGCAATGTAGCTAATTACGTAGACCAAGAACCCTTGCTGATTTTAAAAGGAAATTTTGTAGCTAACAAAAAAAGAACTTCAATGGAAATTATAGTTGTGCTATACATGATACTCTAAACATTTTCTAGTTCTTCTAGGATGAAGGTGATCAAATTGACGGAAGAACCTATAAGTCACCTCCTGGCAACCTTTTTTGAATGAGGAAGACAGATTTTGCGATTTGATTTGTCAATTCTGTTCTATTGTTTTATGAAGCCTTGATGTTACGGGAGGATCATTCGGAACCTTAGAAATACAGAGGTAGGTTCTTTCTGACGTGTATGTCACGTAAAACTTACGTTGTTAGGAGCACTAAGATATTGGAAACTATTTTTTCAAATTTATGAATCATGAGGTTAGAGGGAATCATTTGGAACCTTAAATGAGAAGAAAGAAAAGAGTAGGGCACTTGGCCAATAATAATACTTCTAACTTCCCCCTTTTCTGTTGGTTTTAATTGGAGGTAGCAAAATGGACAGGATGAATGGGATTTGCTTAGATTTGAGATAGAACTGAGTAATATGAGTTTGGATCCAACCTTATTCATATGTGTTTTGGGACTAATTTGAGCGAAATCATTTTGAGATGGGCTTAGATTGATCTCACCTAATATCCAAGTCTATTTGCTATATTCTTTTTTCCTTTAATTCTTTTTTACATAACTTTAATATTTTTTATTTATTAAATTTCATTTAGTCTTATTGTGAATAAATATTTTCTTGAATTCTTTTTTCCCTCAAATTTTCTTTTATTTATTTTCTATGTGTATATATTTTTTAATCTTTGATTTCCAATGTTGCTAAATTTTAGTTGAGGAAAAAATAAATCCTATAAAAACTTAAAAGGACTTGTATTTATGAGTATAATGAAATGGCGTTTAGAATGAGCCATCATAAACTACCAAAAATGGACAAAGTATTTTAATAAAATTACAAATTAATGACTTCCATATTACTTCCAATATTCATTTTGATCAATATTCTACTAGAAAAGGAGTTCAAAACCATTTACAGGCCTAAAAGAGCCCCCAACAACTCCATTTAAGCCTTCTCCAACCTGACTACGCAACCATTGAATTCCCGTCTCAAAATAAGAAGTTTCTTTCAACATTTTTCAAAAAGCACTTATTTCTAAGGGACAAAAGAGTTCAGGAAACTAGATGGGGGTTTAAGCATAATTACAAGGAAAAAACTGAAGGACCTCACTTGGATCATTAAAAGATATACAACAATTGATGGAGTAAATTTTTGGTGAGACTCTCGAGCCCCAATGGGTACCCAAAAATTTCCATCAATTAATGGGTATAAATGGGGTTAGTCCCATTTCAAACCCAGACATCAAGATAAAAATATCCATCCAGTTCAAAGTCCCTTTAGGCATGATAGCCCATTGTGATTTGGAACATATTGTCACCTCTAGTTTTTATTCTTAAAAAAGAAAATTTCAAGATCAGCGTAATACTGTTTGATCCATCCGTCAATGATCTCAACCTCCAATTTCCTCTGAGCAACCAACCAGGACGGATCACTTTTTTGTGCTGCCAGTATGTCCAAGCAATGAGATCCTGCAAAAAATGACTTCGAAATGGCCATCACAAATCATTTAACGGAAGCCCACAAACTATAGATTCAAAAAATATGTGGCTCGTGTTTTTCTAGTGTCATTAGCACTTATTTGGTTATGCTCGTGAGGGAAATAATCTTTGAGAAGACGCAAAAGGAAATAGTGGATCGAACTGAGTTTACTTGGAATGGAAAGAGCTGAAAAAACGAACCTTTAGCTGTGTAAACAGCAAGAAGGCTGTCGGATAAGTTCTCTCGCACCCTGCGATTAAGAAATTAAATGATTAATTAGTTTAAGAAGCCATGAGTATTAATTTCAATATAATATATAAAAAGAAATCAATAAAAAAAATGTCTTATTCAATTACCCGGCACTACTATAAGGATCCTTCAAGCCATTGGAGAATATGATATTGCTTCCAAATCTTTGGAAAATCAATTTTATGTCCTACAATTTGTTGGATTTACATATGAGGATCGGATCAACAATGGAAAAGTGAAAATGATCATAT